GAGGGGTATTGAGAGGATCCATTAGTTGTGAGAGTTGTAAGATTTTTTCTGATAAAAACTACACATTTAAAAATATACAGTGCTGGGACAGAGAGCAATTTCATTCTTATGAACGCTGGTTTACAACTTTCACGATATTCCATGTCAAAAATTAGTCTCAGAATACGTTTCTGCCCTATAAACACCATGTTGAAATCCGAACCGCACCCCCAAGACATGATGTTCAAGGAAATATTTGAAAAAGCCTTTGCATAATAGATGCTAATAGACTTTTCTGATCTACACAGTTTTTCATCCGCTTTATTGCAAAAAATGCCTTATTGAGTTTCTTGCAGGCACCATCAATATGAGAGTTCCAATTCAAGGCTTCATCCACAATTGTTCCTAAAAATTTTACTTCTTGTGACATACCTATTTCATCAATAGAGAACACTGCATCTTGAGTAATATTATTTCTGTTATAAAATTTCATTGTCACTGATTTTGAGGTATTCAAAACTAGTCGGTTGCGTTCACACCAAGAAGTGAATTCATCAATAATGTTACTAATTTTGGTTACCACGTCGTCCATAGTATGTCCAGAGACTGTAACAGTGGTATCATCTGCAAACATCGTTATGTGGCAGTCCCTGACATATTCAGGCAAATCATTGATAAATATAATTAATAATAAAGGTCCTAAAACTGATCCCTGAGGAACGCCCAGTTTAACAGCATGCTCATCTGACATGGTGCCTCCATATTTGACTGACATACAGCGCCCCTCCATATAGGAGCCTAATCATCTTAATACATTGTTTGGAAGACCCAAGTCCAATTAACTTATTAGACAGAAAATTCCATGACACAGAGTCGAATGCCTTTGACAAGTCAAAGAATACACTTATAACAAAGTTACCAGCGTCCAAGTTGGAATAAATGTTGCTGAGAAAGTGGTAAGAGACTGTTTCTATGGAACGATTTTTCCTGAAACCATGCTGGTTGTTACATAATATGTTGTTGCTTTCTACATACTCCCTTATTCTGGAGGCTACAATTTTCTCATACAATTTTGAGAGCGAGCATAGTAGAGAGATCTGTCTATAGTTATCAATCTCAGCACGATTTCCTTTTTTAAATAGGGGAATTACCAAAGTCTTCTTAATTCTTTGTTAAGTACCCTTGTATGAAAGACTGGTTCATCAGATAGGTAAGTGGATCAATTATAGCACTGATTATATCTTCAACTGTAATTATTGATATTTCATCAATACCTGTCGACGTCTTATTTTTCATTGATCTGAGAGCGTCATATATTTCAGATTCTAATATTGGGCTGTTATCAAAGGGGTGTTGGATACTGACATTCGTCCTACTGGTGCAGGGTAGGGTTAAATTATGTCCAAAGTTGGTGGCTATGATAGATGTAACAGTGTGTGCAATTCAGATGTATTTTGCGCATTTCCAACTGAGTTTGAATTATAGTTTAAAGTAATGCCCCCTTCCCCAGCATCAAAATGCATTAATTTCCCTAGTTCACTATTTATTATTTTCCATGTCTCCTTCGTTTTGTTGGCTGCATTCCCAATTTTTTTAGAAAAATAGTTAATTTTATTATGTTTGATTGTTCTTTTATGTTCTCTCAATCTTATTTTATATGTAAGCATGCTTTGGGCATCAATTTCTTCATAACTGGTGATCAGATAGAACATTTCTCTTAAGCATTTTCCTTCTTGAACAATATCATTAGTTATCCATGAGTTTTTAGGTTTCTTAACTTTACTTTGTTTTATTGGGCAAGATACATCAAAACACCAGGACAGAGACTCTAGGAAAAAGGTAAAGCTTTTTTGCACAGACATATATGAAAAATACCATTCAGTCTAGTTCGAAATTAATTTATATTATTTGGATTAACTATTCGCTTCATTATTGATTTACTAGGGTTGCATGCATTTACTCCTTTAGAAATATCTGTCTTGATAATGACAATATGAGATATATGATCAGCAATGTTAGGTTGGATAAGCTCACAATCATAGTTAGCATCATGTAATGTAGTGACCATATAGTCAATACATGTTTTATTTGTCTGACCATTAATGTTAGTAAATATCCTTGTTAGGCCGAACATATTATTCTTTAATTGAAATGAAACAAAAAGGTCTGTCAGTAATTTAGTATTGGTTGCATTCGTTAGGCAATCAATGTTGAAGTCCCCACAAAGAATAATATTATGAGATTTTTTCTATGCAATTTTCAGTGTCGGCAACAAACAATCGAAAAACAAATGTACATCACTATTTGGAGGTCGATAAGCAGTTATGATAACAATTTTTACACTATTGACCTTACAGTAGATACCGCATATTTCTATTTGGCACTCAATGGATAGTTGTTTTATTGCGACAATTTCCCTGAATTCAATGTCTTGTTTTGCTAAAGTACAAGCTCCACCGCGAATATGATTACTTCTACAAAAAGATGCTGCAATTATATAATCATTGAAATATATATTATTAAAAAAATCATGACTGATAAAATGTTCAGGTAAGCATGCTATGTCAATATTTTGAGTTTTTACAAAACATTCTACCGAGTTCAAATTATTCAAAAATCCCTGAACAAGAACGTGGCATATTTTAGTATGAAATAGATATTTTGTACTACTAGTCTTATTGTCTGTAAAGCTATTGTGGACAAACTTATTAAATTCTGGAGTTGAATATTTCTCTTACATGGTATTTGGATACGTCTATTGATTTTTTTAGTACAGAAGGAAATTTTTTTGAGTATTTATCGCCAATGATCAGTATGGTTTTTGCAGCTGGAGTAGATGCTCATTTGCAAGTAATAATACACTCTTGTCCCTGAATTGTTTTTGGAAGCACTTCTGCTTTGTCTTCGCCAGCTGATGCCGTAATAGTAGTAGAGCATTTAGTAATTACTTTGCTTTCATCAGCTGTTTGTTCAGCGGAGTTATCACCAATATAAATGTCGTTTATTTTTGCTACCTCAAAATCAAAACTCTTATTAAGATTTGTCTTCTTACCATGTATTTTTTTACCATGTATTTTTTTCCGTGTATTTACCTTTTATCATTACTCTTTTCTCTAGCTTTAGTTTTGCTCTTTGTTTTGTTAATTTTACATGATTCTTTTTTTGCTTCTATTTGGTTATTAATTTCGTGTTCGAAATTTTCAGATTTCTTCATATCTCTGTTTGAATCACCCTGTATGTTTGTGTCCCCCAATGAAACATTGGCTGCTCTAGACTGTCAATACATAAATCGTCTTTTTTGTCACATGGAATTCCTTTGTTGTTTTATCCATCCCAAGGTCGTGGTCATGGCATGTCGAAGTTCCTATGTTTTGTTGGTTTCTGTCAGTTTGCGTTTCAACAGTTTTTGTTTCAATCACACTGTTTGTTAGTTTTTGTTTCAAAGATATGACTTCGATCTTCAATTCACTGATGAGTTTTTGTTGTTTGTTTATTTGGTATATTTAATGAATATTCGTTTTCCTGATTCCCACTATTTTTGGAAAATGTTTAATTAGACTTACGTAACTTCATCTGCTGATAAAAAAATCTGATATAAAAACTTGATGTTCATATCTATTTTCTTCATCTTCTCAAAAATAGAAAAATTGACTATTTCTGGAACTCTTTCGGTAATAAAATTTATAAAATGACGACCTTCTTTCACGTAACTCTTAGATTTTTTTCCAAACAAAACGTCTAATTTTCTCAAAATCATATATCTTTCCTAGTAAACTACATCATAATTAGAACTCAATGATATTTTTGCAAGGAATTTTTTGTTGGTTCTGTTTGCAGTGATATGAAATTAAACATATAAAATGTATATGGCTATTGAAAAGATACGGAATGCTACATTTTTTTTTGTTATTTTAAATAGGACTTCCACAATTGATTTATTGTGTGCGTTACATGCGCTGAAGTGACCTTGAAAAAGTTCCTGTTACAAATAATTTAACTATTGTGTATGTTTCATGTAATTTCATATAGTATAGAACTTATATAATGTGTCAACTAATGTTGGATTTACAATTTCGTAAAAATGAAACACTATTCAATTTTACAACTTTGTCGAAATATTGAAAACAGCAGTAAGAAAAGTTCCTTGTAAAAATTTCCTGCAGGCTAAAAATACGTTTGTATGCAGTTGATAAGGAAAATGTAATTTTGGGAAAATTATACATTTCATATAAATTTGGCAAGTGAATCAATGTTAACAGAAATTGATTGTGAATGTTTTCAACATTTGAATCTCAATTTTTTCAAATGTTTATCCATAAATTTGTTACTTCATATTTGTGAACAGCAGACAAAAATACTTAACTAATCATAAGAAATTGAAAATTTAGCATGAGGCTGTTTACGAAATTAACCAAAAATTCATAAAACTACTAGCGAGTAGCCCCAGCTCCGCAGGGGTGCAATGCTTATACTAAATATACATATAAATGCTTGCGATCGCTGCTAATCATAAAGTGCTATAGGGTGAAGCACGGCATTCGTCGCGCTATTTATAGGCAAGCGCCGTGAAACTATTCATTTAAGTTACATTCTTAAAAGGGCCATATTTATCTATATTAAATATACAATGTATTTAAGGTAGTTAATTGGATAAGGTTTAATGCTGTATTGTTTAATACCGCTTTGTAAATAAGCCATTATTTCTCGAGGATTGAAAATGGTTATTGTGGGTTATCCCTAAGAAATAGACATAATATGTCATCGCGGACTTTCTTGTAGTTTTTTTTTACAATACTGTGGTATACTTTTTGATCTGTGTTTATTTACAACATAACATTAAAAACCTCTGAAACTATACTACTATATTATGCATTTTATATAAATATAAACCATCCTCTTGAATCACAATATCTAATAAAAAATCCGCATCTTAGTTCTAAGCATACATAGATACAGACAGCGAGAAGCGACTTTGTTTTATACTGTGTAGTGATATGATGCTATAAGAATAATTTTTTCAGGTTTGGCTTCAGATTTGTGGTCTTTGCTGACTTTCAGTAAAAAATCAACTGAGGAAGTGGTTTCTCCCGAATTGAATGATTTCCAGCAAGCCCCTCTAGCTAGTCAAAGTTTATTGCTACTTCTTGTATTAGTGCATCATTGGACAACAACTTCAAATCCATACAGGAACAGTTTGTTTTCCTGTTTAGATAGTCAAGGTATAAAAAACAATACTCAAATAAAATCCAATACAAATACTGCTCCCTCAAATCAGAAATTCAATATTCTTCTCTAGTACATAATCTGAATAAATTTTATTGTAATCGAACAGCTTTGCTTTGACAGTTTTTAATTAAAAATATTCACCAACTTTTTGGTATTTTTTGTCAGGAAAGATGTAGAATAGGATGGAGTAGCCGATTTGGGTGAAATTTTCAGGGAAGCTTCAGAACCCTCTAAAATGGGTAAAACATCAATATCAAAATAGTTTTTTCTGAAAAAACGTATTTTAGGGTTTAGAAAGTGACAACAAAAGTACTATACAAAATGTAATCATTAAGGAATTCATTTGTATAGATGAAGAAAGAAAAAGAAAGAAAAAAAAGAATAAGTTTTTTTTGTTCCAAAAATATTAATTATTTGATTTGTGTTGTAAGGATGGAAAGTGTTATTTTATAGGTGAGTCATGTGGAATTACCTGACGTTGATATAATATCCTTCCTGTGCTTTTTGTGAATAAGGCACATTCTCTCTAGGCTAAAGAGAAGCTAATTGTGAAATGCCATGGGACAAAAAAGTGGTTTTTGGGAATTCCAAACTTTTGCCTAGCAAAGATATCTCAAAGCCCTTTTCTGGATAATAAGTACAGATTTGAATAGAGGTGAGGTGTATCACTACCAATGATCTTCTGATAGTTGGTATATACAAATCTTTGTGATAGTACAGCAGATCTCAGATTTTTAGTTTCACTATGAACCGGACTAATCACTGGTTGAATGTATTCCACGAAATCCAAATTTCAGCAGCTTACAAGAAACCGCAGACACCAAAGTGTTAAAAAAGAACATTATTGCGAGTTTAGGTTTATAGCCCAACATAACATAAATATATCCCTTTATGCGAATAAAGGATATTTATGTTATGTTAGGTATATATTTATGTTTATGTGAATAAATAAATTTACTTTTGTATTTTTATAACTAACAAAAATCTAATTTTTGACACTGTCACCTCATGAAACATGAACGTAAACAAATTTTGTTTGATCATTTATCATTTTACTCCAATATTCTTGACCCGTGTTAATCCAATCAAGTTGCCATTATCAAAAAATGGTCTGAACTGTTTGGGGAGCTGTGTTTTTTTGTGAGAAGTAGCATTTCTTATTTTAATGAAGGGAGGAATTCAATTTCACGTTTTCTTGCAGATACCAATCCAGTACCTCCTACCAAAGCATCATCTTTGTTCAAAATAGATTTCAACTTATTGTTCCTGACGTTATGTGAGAAAGCGACAGGAGACGCTGCAACTTTGCTTTTGTATTTGTTGCTGCATCGAAACCAATCATTTAAATCATTCCTACTGAGAAGAGCAGACTTAGATCAATTGGTAAGTGACCCTGGTGTAATGTTGTTAATACACAGAAATTAAAAGGGCTGATCCTAGAGTGTCAGCCACTCGCTGGCAGAAACCTAATGTGCCGCCCTTTTAGGAATTTTTCATATTTTGACTGATACTTTCAACGTTGATATTATAAAGCCATCAACCCATATAAGAGTTGAGAGTAAAATATTATAAAAACCAACTAATACACTTCACTGTGAGATTTTCACTATGAAATGTTTAAAATCATGGCATGTGTTTCTCTATATAATAGCATCGGGAGAATAATTCAAATCAATTTCATTGTTTATTAGATATTGGGAATTAATTAATTTCCATACTTTCCAGCAGGCTTTTTGTATTTTTGTGAAGCAACCAACTTTTCTGCCTTCAAAATTATAAATTGAACTTTATTACGACTTACTTTTTTTGTTATTATTCATATCAACGGTCAAAAATTAATTCATATATTATTTACGATCATTCTCCTTAGTGCCATTATTGCTGAGTTTGTACTTTAGGAATGTGCTATTTCCACATGAATAGATCTTATGAATAAGCTCGTGAATAAGACTCCATAACGTTTTTTGTTTCTTCTACTAACAGTAACACTCATTGGAGTGAAGTAGCCCATTCTAGTATATGTAAAAGGACTAACAAAACCACTCAATATGTATTTAGGTGAAGGAGACATTTCTGGAACGATGGGTTTCGCTCTTGCGATCTTACATTTTAGACATGTACTCCAACAACTTCTTACTGCTGATCGAACACGAACTATCCAATATTTTTGACATATTTCATTTAACACGTACTCTTAACCAACGTGTCCAGATATAAGTTGTTTTTTCTCTTGGCGCTTTTCTTCTTCACTATAACCTAATTTTCTTTGAGCTTCAATTAACATTTTTTTTGGCTTGCACCACAGATTCCATGTCTTTTTTTGTAGAACTGCAACTAGTCTTCAATGCTACATGTCAAACTGCATTCATAGAATGACTTTTAATTTTGTTAAATTACATTCATAGAATAACTTTTAATTTGTTGACTGCTTGTTTTTCTAGACTCTGTTACTTGACTTTCTCTGTGATTTATCGTGTCCCGTTCCCTTTATTTTCTTCAGTTCAGTTTATACTCGAAGGACCGAAGGTTGTATTTTCATAATGTAACCAGCTTTTCTGAGTAAAAAACTGTTTTCAGAATTATAAATCGAATAAATTGGAAGGGATATATTTTAAGGAGAGATTAATTTTTGTGAAAGAAAGGTTTTGGCTTTCTACTTCTTCATCTTCATACAAAAATCTTCCAAACCTTCCAAAGAAAAGAAGAAAGTAATTCATTTCAAAATAAACTTTACAAAGATGTGTAGATCATGCAAAGAAGTAACTTTCAGACACAAACAGGTAGAAAAAGCCCTCTAGAAACAACTACTTTTATATGAACGTTGAATTAAACAAAAAATACGTTTTCCTTTTAAGTCTGTACTCCAAACATTCTTTATAGAATTGAATCAGATATCATTCACAGGATTGCTACACAATATAGTAAATGAAGATGAAGAAAACTGCTCTCTAAACTCGTGTTTCGCTAACCAAGTTACCATCATCAGGAGATGGTTAAGACTGGTGAGGGAAAATGTTTTCAATAGATTCATGTTCCATTGTAAGAAGATATGTAGCATATAAGATATGTAGTTTATATAAGAGATAAGATTATTAATGACATTTCATAATATGTACAAACAATAATAATCAAACTTCTGAATAGACTAAACCCTGGAAAAGTAAAATGTGTTTCAAGGTAAATCATAAAAACATCCTCCTACTAAGGTGGCCCAAATAAGTTTACATTCTGTGATTTGTCTTCTCGACTTTTAGAATTTGTCAAATTTTCTTTGTGGCACCAATATTAACTTGAGCATGCATATTGAAAATAATGAAGACAAGAGTTAGGTGTCAAAAAGATCTGGGATTTATAAATTGCGTGAAGAGCAATCTTTATAAAACGATGTTTTATAAAGATTGAACTGGAACAATATTTGAAACACACATAAAAACAGTTCTGGAAACAGTTTCCAGAATGAATTCAGCGTTTGCTACTCATCTACTTAGAGTTACATGAGTTCAACCATGAACTCAAAACTCTTCATTTTTTCAGAAAGTATGGAAATTAAGATATTAAAAAATTTCCAAAACTCAATGAATGATTGAATCGATTTGCTTAATTCATTCTTACCAAGTAATCATTCTTAATTCCCCTAGAAGAATTACTATGTAATAATCATTGACCAGTGAAAACTGAATATGTTCTATCTTTTCAGTAGTTAAATTTAGCCCTTATTCAAGTTCAAAAACAAGGGCTAGATAGTAGCAAATGTTTTGAAGTATAAAATGTTTTTAAATTATAAGTCATTTATCATTTATGCTTGAAAAAACTATTGCTATAGCGAAACACATTTTTTATTAACCTTACACAGTGAAAACTTCACGGCAAACTGAGTTAGTTGATTTTGATAAGGAATTTCATCACTTATCAGCAATTCCATTCAATTTTCAAAATAATAATAAAATACCAGTTTTTCAATTATTTAAAATTCAGCTCATTTATATGCAGTCTGCGGCCACTGCTTGTTTGGCAGTCCAGGAGCGAAGCATTTACTGCACACTTGGTAGGATCAGCTCTGGATATTGAATAAATTCATTTCAGATTGTACCAATCCTGAAGACCCTGTATAATGCTCCAAATAGCAATTCTCATCATATATACATGTCTCTGATCATATTGCTCATAATGAGTGAAGATGACAGCTTTAATACTAATATCCATGATTTGGTGAGTTGAAAATTTAGATTTAGGCAAATGTGAGTATTGTGAGAATTTATAATAAAAATAGCTTTATTTTACTGGGAATCTGAATATACAATTCAGTAATGTCAAATCATTTTTTCAATGTACTAAAAGGGGTAGACATGACTAGACTATTGGATACAAATAAATAAAAAATATATGTAAACAGAGTCAGTTTTTCATAAACTTGATGAGATTTTATTTGAATGAATACAAAGTTGCACTTTACTTGACATTTGAAGGTAGGCCATTTATTGAACTAGACCGTTTTGAAACAAGAAATTGATAGTTTTCCTATAGTTGCTATGCGTTACATGAAGATTAGATTATCAAATGTGTTATCAATGTTTCGTTATTCCACCAGTGATCTTAAAAACATGCATAAGTTTAGTTTATATGTTGATAATGTACGTATTCACAAAGCAGTGCAGTCATCAATGTTTCAATTTCCGATCAGACAAAGAACCGTGGCATCATTTTTACAATCTGGGAAATTTTCTGACAATTTTCTTCTTCTATTCGCGATCACTATTGACACCAGGGAACGCTTCAAATAACGAACATTTAAATAGAAATGGAAAAGCCAGGAATCGCACGGTGAAAAGTAATACCTCGGTAATTCTTAGCTCGCGACAGTATGGACTTTTGAGGGTTGTTGTTCGTAGGGGTGCGACAGCTGGTTAACGGAAAAACAGATATTTATTGCCCTAATTTTTGTAAACATGCAATTGCTAAGCCAGTATTGAGACATTTCCTAAACGTTCAGAAAATCTATAGAAGAAAAGAAAACAATAACTTGTCACCACTTGAAACTTCATTTTAAAGTATAGAACTAGTATCGACTTTCTGCAGTTATTGAAATTTGCTTGCAGCAAAAATACTTTTAATTTGAAAAAAGCAATGTCTGTGCCCATAGTCTATTGAAAGTTGCTTGTAGAAACTCGATAAAGATATCTATTTTTTAATTTGAAAAATTACAAAATTCAGAAAATAAAAGACCAATGAAAAATAACAACTATCTTCCTTTTTATTTTAAAGGCGAAGACAAACTGGTGTCCAAAAGTGATGATCACAAATAGGTCATATTAGACTCAATAAATTGTCTTGCACATTTGCAATATTCAAAGATTAATCTATTTATAAGTTTAGTAATTAATATTGCATGTGAAATTTTATTCGACTTATTGAACAAAAATAAGTTTTATGGAATAAATGAAGAATTTTTTATTGAATTTTCTTGGAATTTTCACCTTTCATGGTCTGAATAATAAACATTGTAGAATCAATTCAAACAAATATGAGAGAATTGTAATAACGCCTCTTCATTCAGGTACTAATATTAAAATTCTTTCAACTAATAAATGTAATGTCATAGTGATGATGGATACCATCAGTTATGAAAATAAAAAATTTCGCTTAATTTTGAATACAACGTACCAAACAAAAAATATAACAAAAAAACATTTACAAAAACTAAAAGATGATCTGACAAAATCATTTGAACAGAAAACTTGCGGAACATTGAACACGAAAATATCCTAATCAAAACGGAACTCACTCAAATGTTTTTTTTATATATGTTTTATATATGAATTTCACCTTCCACAATTTGAAAAATAAATGATGGAGAATTTTATATGAGTGTAGAAAGAGCAAATTTTTTACTTCACACAAATTACTCCGTAAATCCAAAGTATTTTTTACAAAGAAAAATGTTTTATTAATCAGTACAAGTATTAATAATTATTATAACTGTTTTCATTGTCAGGACGGAGTCAAATACATAAAAAAAACACAAAAAAAAACGAACAAAGAGACCAACCAACAACCTGACAATAATTTTGCTCATCAAAAAAAATCTAAACAGAAATTTATCTTAACGTTTCAGAAGCTAAAGTCCGTATTCATCTTCAGGATTGCAATTAAACTTGCACTCCCGACAGATGCCGATAAAAACTCATCAACAATGACTTTTGTGCAATGAGAATAATCATCAACAACATCTATTGGAGGAGCGTCATAATCATTAGAATCTGGAAAACATTTAACGTATTCAAAAAACACTTTATTGTGAGATTTTCACCAAACAATTTTACAAAAACGCAACACGTGTTTCGCCACGCCCGAAGAAGCAATTGTATGGCGAAACACATGTTGCGTTTTTACGAAATTGTTAAATAAAAATCTCGCAATAAAGTATTTTTTGAATACGTTAGTTACAGATATCCATCAAGTATCGGCCAATTCCATCTTATATGGAAAACATTTATTCTGAATAAGAAGCAAATTATTTTTTGTAACTGTAGCAGGTACTATGTTATAAAATTGCTTTTTCTTGACTTCCAATGCGAAAACATTAAAACGCGCCACCCTGAATAACTTTTGGTACAATGATTTTCAGGAAAAATTAAAAAAAACACGTCAACAATAGTATACAGGGGGACACATTTTGACATATTCTCATTTGATGTTACTTTCCCTATCGCACCCCCAGAGCATGTCACCAATGTTTTTTAAATGGATCACCCTATATTGTTTTGCATTATCAGATGCTCCATGATGAGCAGAATTCAACAAAGTATAAAACATATGGTCTGAAACTTATGGTTCGGGAGCTACAAATTATTTGAGTTGAAAACGAGCTACCCTGAATAACTTTTGAAGCAATGATTTGCAGGAAAAATAAAAAACAAGTCAACAATTATACAGGAGGCCACATTTTGAAATATTCGTTCTGGAGACAAATATGGAAGAAAAAATTTTCTACAGTAAATGTTCAAAAACGTTTCCACCAACTTCGTACAATGGTACAAATGAGCTTCCATTGCCGCCCTCACATGGTTGAGAATCTCGGGAGTTATTTCTTTGCAATGCCTCATGATATTCTCTCTTAAATCTTCTAATGTTGTTGATTCTATCTCATACACTTTAGACTTCAAATTACCCCATAAAAATAAATCTACAGGAGTGAGATCCGGAGACCTTGGTGGCCACATTGTAGGGCCTCTTCTCCAATCCAGCGACCAGGAAAATGATCATCCAAAAATTGTCGCACTGGAGCTGCACCATCCTGTTCAAAAACTATTTCATTTTTCAATAAATTTATATCCTCTATTGCACGGTATTATTCGATTCTCCAACATATCCAAATATTTATCACTAGTCAAAGTATCATCGATAAAAAAGGTCCTATAATATGGTCACCTAAAATTCCTTCCCAAACATTCAGTTTTTGAGGTCGATGGGTATGACAGTATAAATGAGGATTCGTAATAGTCCAATATCAACAATTTTGTCGATTCACCTTTCCATTCAAACTAAACGTATATGCATCCGAAAAACAAATTTTATTCAAGAAATTCTGATGCATGTTGATCCGTTCAGTGAGACTTTCACAAAACTTGATACGTCTATCGAAATCATCTTTGTTCAATACATGAACTAGTCTAATGAAATTTGTAGTTATGAAGGATCCTAAAAACATTTGTACGACTGATTCCTGATTCTCGAGATAACTTAGTTAGATTTTTGGAATTTTCCAATAGTTCAACGTGCAGTACAAACTGCAGTACAAACAGCTTCATCGTTGACAACTGAAAGGTTAAACTTTTTAATGTTAACAGATCCAGTTTCCATAAATTTGTTCAATAATTCCGAAACATATTTGTGTTGTATATTTCTTCCTGGATGATTATCATTGAATATACGGGCAGCAGTTCTAGCACTATTTCCATTCTGGTAGTACAAACTCACTATTTCAATCCGTTCTCGAAGCGTATAAACCATTGCTTCCCAAGAACTCACAAAAACAGAAACACCAATTGTAATTTCACCTGGTTAGGTAATCATTATTGTAGAATGAGAAAAATACAAAATGAAGAAAATATCGAATTCAAACTGAACTAGGCAAAATAAGACTTTTGAAGTATACTTCACAAAGACACCTATGAAACCTAGGTAACAGATTGTACAGAAGTTCATTCAGGGTGGCTTGTTTTCAACTCGGATAATTTTTAGCTTCCAAACTATGAGCTTCAGACCATAATGTATTCTACTTTGTTGAAATCTGTTCATCATGGAACATCTGATAATGCAACACAATTGATCCATTAAAAAAATGGTGACATGGTCTGGTGGTGCGATAGGGAAAGTTATATCAAATATGAATATGTCAAAATGTGCCCCCCTGTATACTATTGTTGAGGTGTTTTTTATTTTTCCTAAAAGTAATTGTTCCAAAAGTTATTCAGGATGCTCGTTTTCAAATAATTTGTAGCTCCCGAACCATTAGCCTCAGACCATATGTTTTATACTTTGTTGAAATCTGCTCATCATGGAGCATCTGATAATGTGAAACAATATAGGGTAATCCATTAAAAAAAAATTGGTGACATGCTCTGGGGCTGCGATAGGGGAAGTAACATCGAATGTGAATATATCAAAATGTGTCCTCCTGTATACTATGGTTGACGTGTTTTTTATTTTTCCTGCAAATCATTGTACCAAAAGTTAATTCAGGCTGGCTCGTTTTAAATGGAATGCACTGTATTACATTTGGTTTGATTTCATATAGAAATTTTGACAGTTGGATGTCTTTCATTGCTTGCTCATGAAAAGCTGTAATAAATTCTCAAACAAATCTGATATGGGATATTGTTAAGTATTGTAAGGCATTTTCTTAGACATAGCTTGTATATTCAAGTGGCTGACCTTTGACTATCCATAGTGAGCCCCGATTTAACAATAAAACTGTTCTCTTTTCAAGAAACTTAAAACCGTCGACTGGTACACGGAGAGAGCTTTGACAGAAATTTCCTTGGGAGGCCTGCTTATACTAGTCATCCTACGAACAGTTCAATACAACATGCTCAAAATGCGAGACAAGTACCTACATACAAACTGCCTAGCCGCCCTGGCTAACATGTCATCACAGTTCCGCAACCTGCACCCGTACGTTAGCCAACGGCTGATATCTCTGTTAGAAACCCTAGCCAAAAAATACCACAGACTTATCGAGCTTGCAAAGACTGAAAAAGAACGCGAAGACTCTGAAGTCGTCGTATCTGTGAAGGACTCTGCTGACGTCGAACAGGACCTTACGGTGCTAGAGGAGGTCTTGCGGATGGTATTGGAGATTCTCAACTCGTGCTTATCGACGCAGCTGGCCAACAATCCTAACCTCATTTACACGTTTCTGTATAACAGGCACACATTCGAGTTGTTCAAGAACGATGTCGTGTTCCAGGACATTATACATAACTTGGATATTATCATTAAGTATTTTTCTGAATTGCTGCATGATAAGTCCAGAGAGCACGAAGTCGATGCCCATCAGGTGCTGTTGGTAATTCAGCAAGGTGCTAGGAACTGGCCAAAGGATAAATTAACGGTAAGGACAATTGGAGAATTATTATTTCTCTCAGATCTATGTGCATGGATTGAACAATTGATTTAGGCACGTTAATTCTCTTAATTGTTTGAACTCTGAAATTAATATGCCTAGACAGATGTGTAATAATCGAGTGGGTAGCTATAATGTAAATTCCTCCCTGTATAGTAATTTCCAGCTACAATCCCATGTTCGGTTTTCGACCCATCTATATACCAGATGTTTCTGCCAAATATGTTCTCGGGATTAACATTTATCATTCACCCTTCATGGTTTATGACTTTAACCATGAGTTTGTATAACTTGTGGTCTGAAATGTTTTATGTTAATTTCTGCACTTATACCATTATATATATATA